GCGCTCAGGCCTTCGGGCACAGATCGGCTCCATTCTGGCTGATAAAGGAGTAAAGAAGAGGAGGAGCGAGAAAGATAGCCTGTGGAAGATATGTGAAACCTGGGAGGGGGACACTGCAGGGAATCCCTAAAGAGAAGAAGAAGAAGAGAATAGTGATAATAAGGGAAAGAAAGGACTGAGAGGCAGAGCTGGAGCTGGTGAAGAAAAGAGGAGATTTGTTTCAGGCATTGCCAGGGGAGGATCTTGACAGGATCGAGCAGAGCCTGGTTATTACAGGGGGGTGGTACAACTCTCATGACAGCTCTCCAGCAAAAAAAGCAAACGTGCTGTGGGAGAGTAAGTTACAAAGCTGCAGTTCACCTTCTGTCTCCTTCCTGAATTTTGTTCCAGGGCATGTTGGGCTTCAGGGCTTGCTGCTACCACTGCTAGTCGGTTGATAACCTTCCTCTCGGTGAGCAGGACCTGCTGCCTGGTGACAGCCCTGTCCTTCATGACTAGGCGGCATCTCTGCAGGAGTCCCACTCAGATCCAGACGCTGACTCATTGCTGTGCTCCTGAGCATGCTTTCCTAGGGAAAATAAAATCTCTCTTTCTTCCAGACCCCCATCTTGTCTGTTACAGTGCCATGTCATATTTATGATGTCCAAAATGTTTTAGAAATTGGGCTTTTGTTTGGGTCTTTTTTTATAGCCTTTATGCTGTTTCGCTTTGATTACATGTTTTTGTAAAATTAGGGTTTTGTTTTTATTTCACTCGGTGTCCAAACAGCTGCAGACTGTAAAACACACAGTGGACATTCCCTTGCTTTTTCTCACCCTGTGTGTGCATTGCTGCTGCTTAGGCAGGCAGAGCGGGTGCCTGCAAAGACCAGCCACTGGCTGAGAGGGGTGGGGTTATTCATCCTGGAGAAGAGAAGGCTTCGGGGAGACCTTATTGCAGCCTTTTATTACTTCAAGGGGGCTTATAAGAAAGACGGAGATGGACTTTTTAGCAGGGCCTGTTGCAACAGGACAAAGGGGAATGGTTTTAAACTAGAAGAGGGGAGGTTTAGACGAGATAAAAGGAAGAAATTTTTTACAATGAGGGCGGTGAAACACTGGCACAGGTTGCCCAGAGAGGTGGTAGATGCCCCATCCCTGGGAACATTTAAGGTCAGGTTGGGCGGGGCTCTGAGGAACCTGGTCTAGTTGAAGATGTCCTTGCCCACAGCAGGGGGTTGGACTAGATGGCCTTTAAAGGTCCCTTCCAATCCAAACTATTCTATGATTCTATGGTCTGTAGGGATGTGGGATTTGCAATTCGTGGGTGCTCGCTTAACTGCAGGGTGGGTGCTGTCGCACATAGTTCTTTCAATAACTTAATAAATAAAAATTACATCATATAAAATAGAGTCACATGGCAAAGGCCCTTCTCATTATTGACTGCTGAGTGCTAGTCTCACTTAAAACTGATGATGGTCAGCAGAGCGCACAAAGCCAATGTCACAGAGGGAGGCACAGCTTTGCTGTTGCAGATTTGATGTGTCTTTTCGCTAAGGCAATTTTTGATATTTAAAGGCTGTTCAATCCATTTAACAAGTCTCTGATCCTTCATCTTTTGACCCCTGATACGATTTTTTCCCTGTTCAACTGTCTGTCCTTCAGCCTTCATGTCTTTATGTATTTTCTTGGGTGAAATTTTAATGATTTTCCATTATCCGCATGACTAATAAAAGCTGTAATAGAGAAAGGTAAGACATGACAAGGGGATGCATAAGTCCTCAGCGAAGAGTTGAACGTGTTCAGCAGAGTTACGGATATCTTGCTGCAGGCACCCTTGTCCTTCTCGTTTCTCATCTTTAAATTTCCTTCTTTTGTTCCTGTCTGTGATGGCTGACCCTTGCTTATGGCTCTTGATTGCTTTCCTGCATTTCCAAACTGTAGCTCCTGACAATGAACTTCCCTTCTTGCCTAATCTTCTGAATTTTTGTTCTTCCCTCCCCTCCTGGGGGGAGGTGAGTCCGAGGGGCATTTCAGTAGACTGGACTTGTTGAAAAGACAGCAAGGTGGGATGGCAAGGAAAGAGCCATGAAACTGTTAGGGTTTGATTCTAATGCACAGAGTGAGTTTGTAGCCGCCTTTTGCTGTGTCTCTTGGCTTGTTCCCGCAGAGTGGTATGACAGCAGTACAGCGAAACAGGGGACGTCTTTGCTTCCTTGTTTCTGGAGTGAAATGAAGGGTAGTTGCTTGGATGCATTTAGACGGAAGTTGTATTTTGCTTTTACACTAAGGATTTATCTACATAAAGCTCTGTTTAGTTTTTGGCAGATGTCCATGCGTGTAGAACATCTCTGGCTGTATCCTGTGGCTACATGCTTTTCAGTATAGTTTGAGATCAATTTGTAGACACTGAGCTGGCAGAGAACCATCTTTTTTATGTACAAGACATGAGCTTCACTGAACACTAAATTAACTGCATTGTATAGCTGTGCCATTTACTGGTGAACGCACTGGTGAAGTATCGACTCTTTTGTTTTGTTTTTAAAATTAAAACAATGTTTAAAAAAGTCATTGCAAAGTGAAACTTCCAATACAAGCTTTGTAGCAAGCTCTCCAGCAGCCTCAGATGAAACCCTTTTCCTCTGTGATTTTATTGCTCAGCTGGTCCCCGTCCCAACAGGTACCCATCTAATTACCAGCTGGTCTCCCCATTTAATGTCCAGCCTTAGCTTTCTGCCCTTCCCACAAAATCTGCCAACACGCTCCCTTTTTCTCTCCTGCTGGTTCAGTCCTCTTCCAGAATTGACTCAGGTTTCTGCTACCCCTTCACCCACCTCCAGTTCTCATTTCATGATGTATCTTACTGCGATCCTCTCTTTCTTCTTTCTTGTTCAACTTTTCTTCTCTTTACCCTTGAATCAGCTGGTGTCTTTGCATACAGTCCAGCTGAATTAACAAAAAAACATTCTCCAGCTCTCAGTCCTGTAAGGACCCAGAATAACTGTTTTGGGGAAGATCTGGCTGCCCTGTAAGCCCAGGACGGAGTACAGGAATCCGACCCGGAGACACACAGCCTGGGAGAAGCTCCTAAGCGCTCGGGAAGGCAGATAGCTCACCCTGGCACCTGGCTGGGGCAGCAGCAATCGGCTCTGGTTTGTAGTCAGAGTTTTTTTGAAGTTAGGTTCTTTTAGCTTTGCAGGTAGTTGTTAGACTATTGGAAATTGATTTGGCTTTATTTTATTAAAAATCTGACTTTAAGCTATTAGGCGTTGTTTAAGCAGAATTTTTTCGTCTCACTGTGTGACTAAAATGGGGAAAGTATTCCTGTGCGACTCTGCTTCTGCCTAGAAAGCAAATGAATCAAGTGTTTTGTTAACTTGAGACAGCCCCTAAAGCTGAGAAGCAAAGTTGAGCTTGGGCATCCTGATTCCGGTGTCTGTCTGAGGTCCCTGTGACGTCCTGGGAAGCTGGGACGGGCTGTGTGATGTGACAGAGGAGGCTCTGCTGTACTCAGTAGTCATCAAGTCCCTTGCAAACAGTTATCTGTATTTTGAACTGCATTGGGGTCTTGTTTATTCTCACCTGCCCTGGAAGGGGAAGGCAGCTGCGTTGCTCAGGATCAGGAGTTCTTCACATTTCTGGACTAGCTTTGTTCTAGAACATTTTACAGTTGCTTATTATTGTGCCAGAATTGACTTTGAGTTTGAATAGTTTGGTTTTTGTCCCTGGTGCTTGATCTTTTGATACAGTTAAAGCTTTTTTAGTTCCTATCCTAGAGGGGACCCTGAGTTTTCCTGATCACTCAATAGTCTTTCTCTGTGCATCTTCCAGCTTGACTTAATTTATCTTGCACAGGGATGACCAAGACAATCAACCCATCTCAGTTGTGCTTCTGCAGCTCGTGTTAACACTTCCACCATGGAGGTGTGCTGGAATCTGCCTGTTTGATCAAGCCAGAGAAGGGCTTAAACAAAGACAATTGCTGAGACAGTGATTTTTTTCTTTCTTCTTTTTTTTCCCCCACTTATTAGAGCCCAGTACTGTAGTCCAAGCTCCCCAGCAAATGCATACTCCAGGAGCCCTCTGCCTTTATGCTGATCATTTGTGCTACTGAGACGGAGCTATAGTCAAAACTAAACATGCCACTCTTCTTCCGTAAGAAGAAACCCAGCGATGATGCTCGGAAGCGCCTTGAATACCAAATGTGCCTGGTAAGCAATTCCGAGGTCTTTTCTGTTCTCTGTGTCTAGTCCTGGATGCCAGGTGAATCAGTACGTCCCCTGCATTACCAGTAATCATGTTACTGATCTCACCGAGACAGCAGGTTGTCTTCCTAATGTACATCAGAGAATTCCTGCTTTCCCCATCTCCGTTTGCCCTCCCGTCCACAGGTCCCCTTCGTGCCACTTCCCATCCCTCTCTGCCGCTGTGGTTCCACGTAACGTCCTCCACCCCACCCCACCTGCCAGCCGGCATATGGGACCCCATCCCTCCTTTCTGCTCCATGCCCCTTCACTCTTACAGATCTCCCAGTTTGCTTTTCCTACCAAGGAACCTGTGACATCCCCTTTCCCATCATAATTGGCTTTCCTTGTGCCCCTCTTTTGCTTCTCATTATTATTTCGTTTCTTCCTATCATTCAGAGGATTAACTTTTTAGATGCTGCTGTTTGTTTTCCTGGACTAGGATTTGGCCAGGATCCCCTGGGGTAGATCTTCAGCAGGTTGCTGTCATGCCAGTGAGGTTGGCTGCAGATTTAAAACTGGCTTTCTGAAAGCAATCTTCTTTTGAGTTATTTCACCTATTCTGCTGTAGGAGCTGTGGACCCGTGCTGGCATAGGGGTTCTGCTCTGCTCTACCCCAGAGGTACCTGCATTTAAAAGTGACAAAATTATGCCTGTTGGATGTCTGTAAGGTATTTTGGAAAGGAAGGCTTTGTTATGTACCAATAATGAAACCTGTTTTACTGAATTTATTCAGTTGGAGGGTTTCTTTTCAGCTCCTGTGGGACCAGGGAGGGATAGCTTAATCTGTCCGTTCTAGGATTAATTCTGTATTGCGTGTGCTTAGTTTAGGGTCAGATACCCAGTTCTGAAGACTTAACAGAGGCAGTAATAGCAGGTTTTATGGCCTTGTGCAGTACCTTTTATTTAAGAAAATAATTCCAGAGATGCAATGCTGCTGACCGTGAGGTTTGTCCCGTTTCATTGCTGTTAGCAACTGCATTGGATGTAGTTGATTTGAACATGGAAAACCACTTTTGTACAGAAGCGGTGAGTCCTTGCTCCTGGCTCTGCAGGTCCCATGGAAGCAAAAAGGCGATAGCAGGTTATTTTGGTTTCTGTGTACAGTTCAGAAGAAGGTCGGTCTGCTGAGCAAGACTTGCCAATGACACAGCAGGCTCTTTACAGGCTAGGATGGCACTGCTGTTGTTCCTAGGAAGTGCTCTCTTCAGAACCCATCATTTCCTTTCCATATCCTTTCAGTTAAAATTGCAGAATTAGAATGTGCTTTGGTTCTTTCTGCAGAAATTCATTTATTGTACCAAAAGAGCTTTTCTGCAGTTTGGTTTCCCAGTTGCTTTTGCTTGCTGCAGTTGTAGCAGCACACCCTTTGCTTCTAGCATTGTCATTGAATTACGTAGCCGTGGCAGAGAACTGTAATTGCATTTTCTAGGGAGGGGACAGTTGAGTAGTTTAGCCAATACGCAGCAAGAGGCCACGTATTTCTACAATTCTCTGGGTGCATATCTTCTCTCTCCAGGCAAAAGAAGCTGGTGCTGATGACATTCTTGACATATCCAAATGTGAACTCTCAGAGGTATGTTCTCTACAACTTCCAGTATTAGCTCACAGGTCTGAGTTCCCTGTCGGCTTCTTGTTACCAACTGTCAAATTTAGTATCATGTCTATGAAATGGCCTTTTTACTGGTCTGCTTCTTCCTATGTCTGCTGAGCACTGGCTTTCAGCTGAGGGCTGCTTCTGTTTTTTTTTTGTGGGAGATTGCCTGTCCTACCTGATGCTTCCACAACATTTCTGTCCTGAAAAGGGAATCCTTTTTCATTTAACAAGATGGGAAGGGCAGAGTGGTCTCATACCCTCCACCAGTACGTTGGTAGGAACCTAGTTTGGGACCTCATGGCCTAATTTTGCAAGTCATAAGGAAATTTGTTTGCCAAAGGCTGACTGTTTCTAATCTTAGAGCTACAAAGTCTGCCACCTGCGCTTATTTTTCTGTATAAATGAAAATCGCTGGTTCCAGGCTGCTGGTTAAGGATGCAAATCTCACTTCCAATTTGGCTTCTTTTATGGCAGCCAACTAAATTAGAAACAAGCTGTCTGCTGGAGTGTGAGCGGTTAGTGACAGATCGCCAGGATTTCAGAGGAGACACAGCTTTTCATTCTGGCAGCCAGGCAATTCTGTTAAGTAGAAGCCCGTTTCTATTTCACTTTCAGTTTTTGTTCGTTGTCCTGTGTTTCTAAAACACGTTGGTACCTGTGTAACCTTTTGTCAGAGGATGCCATTGCCAAACAAGCTAATAGATATTGCACTGCTCTTTGGGGAGAGATTTGGGACCATCCTGGAGAGGATAGCTGTCTGCTGTGCAGTATGAAATGGCTTTGCTGAGACTTTGGGATGTTTTGTTCCAAGATCGGAAGCCAACAGCATCTTGTGTGTAGGTTTGCGAGCTGTGTGGGACAGTCTGCGAGCCAGTCTGGGTAAAAGGGTGGCAGACAGAAGATGCACACTGAGCCAGCTCCATTCACAGCTGCAACTGGTCTTGGATCCCCAGTGGCTCCTTTTGGATTGGTACCATAAAACTCTGTCTTGCTTGTCTTCTTTTTAGCCTTTGTCGTTTCAACAAATAAAGTGAGCCATCAGTTTGGTCTTAAAATTAACTCTGGACAAGAGTTTGGCTGATGCCAGTTCCATGCTGCAGAGCAGGTCATGGTGCTCAGAGCCTTGGCTGGCAGGGGCTGAATTTGCTGGAATATCCCTTGTCTGACTGCCCCTCTCCTGCAGAGCCTAGCACATACGAGGACACTCAGTCCTGCCTGTTGCTCACCTTTCTCACTTAGCCAACTGCAGCGTGTTTGCCAAGGTTGCAAAACCATAGAATACATTTGTATGATGACTAACTGAAAATATGCCTGAACTCTTGAGTCATCCGCACATTGAATATTAAATCGCGCAAGACTTGGACTTCTGCCTAAATCTCAGTCTGTTCTGTGCTATGCACGACACTGTCGTATTATGGAGAGCCACTGCAAGCGGTTTAAATGGAAGCTAACCGGGAAGTACTGGCATCCTGGGCCAAAATCAGGGGCCAGTAATTTTAAGTATCACTTGCGTTTTCATTAAAGTTAATTATTCGCACTTCACAGGTGGATTCTGTAGAAGTGCTTACAAAGATAGTATCTTGAGAAGTCTGACACGACTATTTTTTAATTGTTTTTAGGTTCCTTATGGGGCCTTTGCAACTTGTAAAGTCTTGCAAAAAAAGGTAATGTCGCAATCAGAAATTATTAGATAATTCTATTATTATTTTTGAATATTATTGTTGTGTTTGAAATGACTGTATGTGGTTGTTTATATGGTGCTTCAGAAGAAGTTTGCTTGTAATGAATTTGGCCACTTGTATGATGCTACACAGAGAGCAATTTGGGTAGGACTAATCCTGTCTGTGTGCTTTAGAGCTAATTTCTGTCGTGAAAGATGAGGTGATTGTTTCTATCTTAGCCTATCTAATGATATTTCTTATGTAAGAAACTAGGCTCTTGTTTAGATCTCATGTTAAATGTTTGACTTTCTGTGAAAATCCATTTATTATTTTAATATTTTATATGATACTGAATAAGATATTAAACTCTTATATAGCCTACGCAATTAAATCTCAACAAATGTGCTTGTTCTAGACAGCAGTGCCTCTTGTGTTCATGTTTCAATGGGATTTTTCCTCCCCAGGTGCTGATTATTCATACGAATAATCTGACATCTTTAGTTCCAAAGTCCTGCAGCCTTCTGAGTCTCGTAACCGTGAAGGTAATCGTGATTCTTAACAGTTAATCTGCAGCCTATTTTCCTTGCGTTCTAGCTGCATTAAAACACACTAGCCCAAATAAATCCCTTCTGTCTGACTGTCTTTGCCAAGAATTGGTAACAAGGTGTGAAACCTGCCTTTCCTAGGTTTATCTCCCAGGTAGACAGGTAGCAGTCACTGAGCGGTTTGTATAAAATCATAATCAGTCCCAGGACTCATTTATCCTCTTCATAATCCCACGCTTCCCCCCTTAACAGCCTCTCACGGTGGTGGTCAGTCAGGACTGAGTGTGTTACGGGGTAGATCCATCTGTCTTCTGCACTGGTGGGTCATTTGAATGTGAATGAAACTGGTGATGGGTGACCATGTGTGATGGGGCTGTATTGCTGTACCTGTCATATAAATGCTGAGGGCTTTCAGCTCCACCACCCTCGTGCTGTGTTTCCACAAGAGGCAGAGTCGCTCCCGCAGCTCACCTCTCCCCGAGGAGGAAGGTCTCCAGGCATAGTCCTGCCCTCTCTCTGTGCAGCGTTGCTGTTGGAGCAGTTCAGCTCACTGACCCTGCAGAAAATGTCTTTTTCTGCCAGGCTGGCTCCGTGGAGAGGATTTATCCAGTTGGCTCATCCAGTTTTGTGGAACAGCTCCCTTGGTGTCACTCCTCTCCCTAGTCTTTTGTTTGTTTATCAATGTATAGAGGCTTGAGTTTTCAAAAGACCTACAAGAATTAAGTGCCTATGTCTCCTTGAAAACTTAAGCTGCTTTTCAAAGCCCCATTGGAAAGGAAGTAATTTTCATTGCTAGATAATTCATGACCTTTCCTTCTTGCACCATGACTTCTTTTCCCAACCTTGTTTGGTGAAATCATCTACTCTTCCAGGTTCTAGACCTGCATGACAACCAGCTGGCATCGCTTCCTAAGCTGACATCTCTTCAGGTAAAAGATTTGCAGCTGCACCCCAAGTGTTTGTAAAGGGCATGTTACAGGACAGCAAAAATATGGGGTTACTACTATTTCTTTTATAATTAATCACAACTTAAATGATGGTGCTTATATTGTCAGATCTATCTCGTTGACTGTCACTGTTGAACTGGCTTGTTGGAGAGGGAGAGCAGGAGAAGAGCAGGAGAAGGGCAGGCATGCTGAATTATATAGTCCCAGCTTAGTGCAAGGGCTGTCAGTCCAAATGGCTCACACTGCCAAGCGGGTGCTATAAGCAGCAGAGCTGGAGCTTCCAGTCCCATTGATTTCCCAAAATATTCAGGTTTTACCATCCTCCCTTGTGTGATTATGTTGAGAATCCAGTGCAGCGTGTCGTAGTGCACGCTGAGGGTCTCCTCTGCTCGGGGTGCAGCTTTAGGTTCAGTCACTGCTCCGCTGTGGGAGCCGGGGTGGGGGAGTGCTGCCCTGGAGGGGAGGACACGCTGCTTCCCAGCTCCTGCATCTGGTTCAGCTGCTGTTGGTTGTGAATAGGGTTTCTCATTGCATGTGGTAGCTAGACGTATCCTGTATCCAGGGCTTCTGGAAAACAATTTTTTTTTTAACCCAGAAAGTATTGTCTAAAACCAATTTCAGGTTGTCCTTCTGGGCCTGAAAATAGTCCCAACAGCATAGATGTGTAGAAGACCTGAGACTTGTAAAAAGAATATCTTGAATATCTTTTCTGTTAATACCTTAGGTCCTAAACCTTGAAAGGAATCTTTTAAAATGTCTTCCACAATCTATAGGAGACCTTGCCCAGCTCCAGATGCTCAATGTGAAAGGTAAGGCACATGTTTCTTGTCGGTGCTCTAGGCAAAGCACCATTTATGATCTGGGTCGTGTTGAGCTGCATTAGTAATTATTCCTTTCAACCCAGGCAAGCACCGAATGGTTTATACTATGAATGCTAAGGAAGAACACAAGAAAGATTTGAATTCAAATAGTTGTCAAGGCAGGAGAAATCACCTAAGCAGAAAGTGGGTCAAACTTGGTCCATATGATGTTTTCGTTCAGCCCTTTCTCAAAGGAGAGGTCGCTGGTCATTGTGCCCGATCTCAACACCTGAAAGCTTACTTGTGTGCCTGCACGTGGCCAGATGTCAGAGCCCCAGCTGCCTCATTCCTGCGGCGAGGAGTGCCGAGAGGGCTGGAGGCCCGCGTCTTCCTCCGGGAGCGTGAGACCCACCTCGAGCTGGGAGCGCTGCCTGTGCCCTGCAAGAGGAGTCCCAGGCCAGGGTTCGTCCCCCTCTGGAAAATGATTTAGACCAACCTAAGAAATCTGTCTGTGCAGATTCAAGTGTAAGAAAAATAGTAGATCTTTGGCAGAAGCAGTTCAGCAAAGCAAGTAGAGCAGTCAGCCTGCATAAACTGAATTGCAGAGCAAGTCCACTGACACCCGGAGCTCGGTCCTGGCAGCCAGTGTAACCTCACCAGGTTTGCACAGCCCTAACACACATACCATACCTCTTTTCAAGACTCCTGGACATTTTCCAGATACACAGTGCCATAAATTTGGGAGAAAAAGGAGACTTTGTTACAGGGAGCTGTTGCTGAAACAGGGAAGAAAATGGAGGGTGAGGAACTTGGAAGTGCAGCTCAGTTCATTGCCCCATCTGTCTGCAGCACCTGGCCTCTGTCCCCTAGATGTGCAGTCCCACACTCAGTCCCCTTTCTCCCATCTCTGGTACTTGCACCGAAGGGAAGAAGACTCCATGTTACAAATATTCTCCTGATAAAGAGCACAGATCCAGCCTGCAGCAGTGACCTCAGCTGGGAAGGTCGTTTTGGCATGAGGAACCACTCCTGGACCTGGGCACTTGGGCTGTGTGCAAGTAGATGTTGATCCCCATTTGCCTTGGTTGGCAATGGCAGTCTTTGGAGTCCTCGTGTGACCCTTGACAGCCCCGTCCCTGTACTAGAGTATAGAAAATGAGTCATACATATGATTATGGTTTGGTGTTCCAGCAGATGAACTTGCTGGGTCCTGCTTTGGAAAGGTTACATGGTACTAAATGGCTTTTCTCTCTCTAGGTAACAAGCTGAAGGAGCTGCCTGCCACTGTGAGCGGCTTTTTGGGGTTGGGCGCCCCCGGGGTCAGACGGGGAGTGAGGAGGACCCCCCTGCCACTGTGAGCGGCTTGCGGAGTTTGCGCACTCTGGATATCAGTGGGAACATGCTGCAGGAACTGCCGCGGGTGCTGGCTCACATCCGCACGCTGGAGGTGCGCACCCAGCCAACCATGTCTGTCTCTCCCCTTCACAGGCTGCAGGCTGCTTCCCTTCCTACTTGCTCAATACGATAATAAATTTAGCATAGAAAGTGAATTTTTAGGGCTTGGGCAGGACCCACTGTGGGGGATTGTAACAAGGCTGTATATAGTTCGTGGTGTCCAAAATAGCTTTTGCGTACCCTTCCTGCTTTGATCTTGTCTGATGACTTTTTGCCATGGCTTAATCATGACAAAAAATCCACAGGGAGTGAACCCCCAGGTATTTTCTGCCAGGGCTGTCTCTTTGAGAGCACAAACTGTGCCTGTGGGCTCAGGTTGACTCAGCTGCTTTCCACCAAGGCTGATTCTAAATGAGCAGATGGGATATTTCTGATGAGGTTTTTGCCTCCATTGCCGGGACTGATCTGTGACTCATTGTCAGCCTCTAGGTTTCTGGCTCCCTGGAGTGCACATTCAAAATGGGACAAGCGTCAAGATTTTTATGGATGTGTTACCTTCTGGCTGCCAAACTTGTTAGTACTAAACTGTGCAAATGTCAGGCAACAGGGCTGACTCAGACACCAGCATGGAGGATGCGAATAAATGCTCTGCTGTCTCGAACACAGAACATTCTCTTGTGGGCAGTCTCTGAGATGAGGGATCTGCGCAGCTTGCTCCCCTGTGCTTGATAAAGTCGTTCCTTTCTGGGCCTTCCTGCTAAGCCCTTCTCTATAGGAGGCAACATTAGGTCCTTTTGGTGACCACAGTAGGACAAAAGAGCAAGTGGTCCTTCCACTTGTTCTTACCGTGTGTCACCATCCCTTCCATGCATCATGCTTAAGGCTCCAGCATACAGAAATTAGTAGAAAATTTCTGTAATGGAGAAGTGCCATGCCCTCTTGTGCTTAAACACAAAGTAGGCATGTCTGCATAAGGGAGATGTTCCACTGAAGGACCAGCTCAGAAGCTCCCAAATAAGAGACAGTGCAGTCACCTCTGAAAGTTGTCAAACACCCAGCAGAAATTCAGTACAAACTTGTATTTATGTCAGAATTTAGGGTAACATGAAATTATCACTCCATAAGTGAAATTTTGGGGAGCTGCAAGGATAGCTGCAGTTGGACTCTGGCTGGGCCACCAGAATAACCTGTGTGTTCTCTTTTGGAGTCGCTGACCTTGGATGCTTCTTCCATGACCTACCCATCACCTGATATTTGCAGTGCAGGTACAGAGTCCATTCAGCAGTTCCTCTGCAAAGGTAAGCAAGAAGAGTCTGTGGATGGTAGTGAGAACTTGGGGGACTGCGCTGTGCTCTCATTAGGTGCTGTGGTGTGTTCAAAGATTGCATTAATGAAGGACAAACATCGGGGTGGTTTCTGATGCTCTGCACACGTGGCAGGCAGGTCAGTGAGTTATGTGTCTTTGCTGGCAGACAGCAAAACAGGAGTCCTTCCTTGAGACTTGCTTCTTACTGTCACACTGAAATTTATAATGGTTTTCTTAAAACACCAGAATAGCTAAGTCAGAGACTGACTGAGTGACCATAAGAAGTCATTGCAGCTCCCTGTGATTTTATTTTCTCATTTGTATTTTTTCAAGTGGGAGGATTAGGCATTGTCCAGGTCCCCTTGTCCCCGTGCCTTGGGACAAGGAGGTAGACTCAGTAGTCTCTCAAGGTCCCTTTTACCCTCATTTTCTATGAGAAAGGACTTGGGGGCTGCAGACTGATGGTTTGTCAAGAGAAAGATGAAACCAGATGGAAAACTCAGAGGACAAAGATAATGTACTGTGAGTTTGTAAACACTGAGTTTAATACAGACAGGAAGGTTTGGAAGAGGTTTTATGCAGGGGAAGTGCCTTGCCAGACATTGTGCTAATCCCTGAAATAAAAGGACAGTCAGAACTTATTTTAATATGGGCAGTAACATTTGCAGCCCTGCAGAAGTCAACGTGCCTGCACCCGTGTGAAGGAAGCGTTTCCCTCTGAGCAGGTTAGCTTTGATCGTCGTCCTGGTGGGAATGGGATGGCACTATCTCCTCTCAGATCTTCTTCTTGTTAAGCCTGCCTGAGCTAAAGGAGCTCTTTTGGGCACTCGTCTGTGTTTGGGGAGAGGGAGCACAGTTGGAAGCAGTCTCACACGCCAGCCAGCCCTCGGCCATGCTGCCAAGGAGGTTTTTAAGCACCAAATGTTCTTTTTTTGTGTCTGATACCTTCCAGAGTGTGGAATTGCATACTACCCTCCCTCTCAGTATCTGCTCCCCGCGCTGGAGAGTGATGGAGAAGGAACATCAGTGGACGGGGTGGACAGGGCAGTGCATAAGTACTTGGAGGAGGAGAGCGAGTGGCAGGTGAGGCTCCACTGCGTGTGAAGTTGTGCAAGAGGGTGTTGGATTTGTCTTTCCTCTCCATCAGTGGATCTCACAGCACTTTGCACATCATTCCTCATCACCTCCCCCGCCACGAGATGTGTCTTTTAGGATCAAGAGAGCATCAGTGCCCAGAAGCAGGCATAGCACTGTGGGGGTGGTTGGCTCATCTCGCCCCTGACAGTTGGGGATGGTGTTACCACTGCTGACTCCTGGAGCACACATCGTAAAGAACTGTCTCTGTCCTTGAAAGCAATGATGCAATCAAGGGACAGGGGTGGCAACGTGACACGGTGTGTGCAGCATGGTAACACATGCGGGTTTTCTGGGGGGACAGCAAACTGCAGAAGAACCTTGTGATTCCCAGCCAAGTGCTAGGCATGTCCAGCCCTACCTGGGAAAGGTGAGCCTAGGCATCTAATTATGATAAGCTGTGCTAATTCCTGTGCTGTTTAGCAAGTACAGAGTAAATTTCTTTGACGCTGGAAAAGCATGAATGACTGGACTTTGTGGCTATGTTAATCTTCTTGTGCCTTTGGTTGATGTCTTTACTCAGTTAGGGGAATATATAATGTGGGCTAATAGTATCTAAAAAAAATTGCTCCTGGGAGTAAATGTCTGCTGATATTGCTTATTTTTCAGAACAAATTCTTGGATTATGAGAAGAGGAAGGTAAGGATGAACTCCTGCAAATGCTTTGTCTGCAGAATAGCTCCACTTCTTTTTCTTGTTTTCCCTCCCTTTATCCAGTTTCTCAGCCAAAACTGAATGTTTTGAGAACTGAGTTCTTGCAGAAAACCCCCCAGAGCTGCTCACTCCTCACTGCAGAAGACAAGTGGGAGTGTGGGGGAATCTGTGGCTGACTCGTCTGACGCACACAGCTGATGAGCTGCAGTCTCTCTTGTGAGCGAGCAGTTCCAGTTTAAATCAGTCCATGTTTGCAGAGTTGGATCTGGGGGCTTTCACACCAGGTGCCTTTTTTCTTGCCACTCTGTGGTGAAAGCTCGGTTTGTTTTTCACGTGAGGTGGGCAGATGTGTGTGAGCAGTCCATGCACAGACTGCTCAGTACGTCCCTGCCCCGAACTCCAGCCCCTCTGTGACTCCTACCTTGGCCCTTTGGCTCATAGTGCCACCC